CTAATAACTTTTTCAAAGTAACGTGCCCAGCACTGGTGGAGAGGATGATGACCTCTGTTTGTTTGTTTTCTTGGTTAATCAGACGTTAAAGTCCTGGACTAGATTATTACAGAGTTTATTCAAAATGATGTTTCCATGGAGACAGATTTTACACAGTGAATGAGCAGCTTACAGCAGAGACATGAACATTTCTGTTCAGACTAACTCGGTTCCAGTCTTTCCTTGGATGGAAAGCCCTCTGCTGTGCTGGATGTGGTTTCTGACCAGGCTGATGCTGTCAGAACTCTTCCCTTGTTTGTGCAGCCAAGAGGAATCCTGCTGAAATATTAACGAGGCAGCGCTTGTTAAAAGGAGGGAGTGATTCAGAGGGCTGTGTCTGGGGCCGCCACGGCCGTCCCCCTGTGACGGACCGGTCCATCAGCCTCAGGCCTATACAGGAGCAGAACCAGCAGCCTCCAGCTGCTTAGAGTCAACCTGACATGGATCTGTCTGCAGTAGTTTGGGTCGGTCAGCCCGCCGCTCCAGGATTCTGTGAGAAGAACCGCTCAGAACCGTCCTCGGTTACATTATGGAGGGTGGATGAAGAAGAGGCTGGGACCGACATCAGCTGGTATCATCAAGCACACTAAGTCGTTTGGAACCAGAGGGTCCAAGAGGCCTGAAGAAAGACAGGATCAAACATGAAGGCCAATCAATGCCTGGAGGTCACTTATTGAAGTTTGGTTTGGCCTTCATGTTGGGTTAGGGTTAGATGAGTAATCATTGTCCTGAACCCAAGCAGGCCTCTGCTGTATCTCCTTCCTGTCTATTCACTTCAATAAGGATCAGTGTTCTGTTTGTGAGGTCCAGTCCAAATAAATAGGTGCTGTCAGCCTTTCCAAATCCATCTGCTAAGAAATGATAAGTATATAGAATCTGATCACTGTCCAAACTGATTTCTGAGAATATCCTTTAATATTCTGTTTATCCTTGAAACTGTGTCCTCGTTACCCCACCCCCCTTCGGCTGGCCATAGTTGGTTTATTTTATCCTCTTGGTTTCTCTGGTCCCAGACTTTGGTGACAGTAGCAGATGAGCTACAGTAGATATATGGTATCCAGAAGTGAACACATCAGCATAGCTCTGAATAGAATAGAAACGCTTGTTTTGTTCCACAGTGGGGGGATTTGGACATTACTGTGGCAAAAACGGGAAGATATAAGTACAAGTTTAGACAAAGTACAGGCTTGTACTTTGTACTTCATTCTTCCTGTCCGCTGAACTGCTGCTAGTTTTCCTCTCATGTCTGGAAGATGTCTAGTGCTGCTACCACAGATGATCTCGCTCTCCAGATGGAATTGAACGATTCCGATTAGCTAGAATGAATAGAAGGGGTAGAGCGTAGCCGCCTGGTGTAATATACATTGTTTAAATAAGGTTTTTTTAACATTCAGACACATTGGAGAGATTAAAAGCTATGAGGAGTGGTCCAGCACTGACCTGGTTCTGGTGTGTTTGTTTCCAGGTGGCCTGTGACCTGCTGCGGAGGATCATACGCATCCTGTACCTGAGCAAGAGGCTGCAGGGCCAGCTGCAGGGGGGCAGCAGGGAGATCACCAAGGCTGCTCAGAGCATCAATGAACTGGGTAAGGCTCCATTTCCCCTCTCTGGGCCTGGTTCAGTCTAAACTGGAACCTGTCCTTCATGATGTTGGACAGATTTGGATCCTGTATAGGCTAAACTTGGTAAAACCTGCTCTAGGCCTGGTTCAGGCTCTAATCACACCCAGGGTGTGGTTCTTCTCTGGGCCCTAACCGGGCCATAAACAGACCCGGATGTTTAATGTCTGGACAGAAAACCCACCATGGGCCGTGCTGCTAGACGAAGGTCCAGGTTCTGTGGTGATCCAGCTGTACCTGCTGAATCATTATGGACCTGGATCAGAACCAAAGCTCAGCTTCTGACCCAGCAGCTTCAGTCTGAGGTCAGCTGAGGATCAGGTCTGGTTTGCTTCCTATCTGGAGTGGCTGTCATGCTGGCAGCTGGAACTGGTTCCCAGCTCCTCCACCATGACAGCCTGCTGCCGCTGCAGCTCTGCTCTGCAGACCTTTGATTTCATGGATGTTGTAGAATATCTAATCAAGCAGTTGTTCAGCTGAACGGTACCAGAACCTCTTGGTTTAGTGCTCTCTGGGTCAGCAACTCTGGGTTGTTCTGTATTTAACCTGCTAGGAGATTCCTTCCAAGATCTAAAGAATGCTGGAAGGTTCTTGTTTCCTAACGAAGGGGTGTAGGCAGACGGGGCTGTTTGTGACACGTCACTCTAACCAGTCAGGCTGCATGGAGCCGAGCAGCACCTTAGAGATGCTCTGTCTGGTTTGTTCTGGTTAGCAGACATTTGCTGTCTTCTCCAAACACAAACTGACAGGTGGTCGGGGTGTTAAAGCTTCACTATATAATTGGTTAGTGCTTCTGACCGGTAGCACTAACCACCCATCGTCCGGTTTACCCCTGCGCTGGTCAGCTAAGGCTGCCTGGATTGAAGTGTGGGAGGCTTCAACCCCCCAACCACTTCAGCCAGTTCCTCTGTGTTTGGGAAATAAAGCCAATGTCTGTCCTTGGCTTGATGGTTCCTCTGGAATGAGCATTAAAATGTTCTGATGTTCCCGACCCAGAACTCTGGGTGTTCATTAAAGTCATCATCACTGATAAATTTTCATGGTAAATGACCTGTACTCATGTAGCGCTTTTACAAGTCAGGAGACTTGACCAAATCACTTTACACTACATTCAGTCATTCACCCATTCACTCAAACATGGTGGGCTGCATTGTAGCCACAGCTGGCGCCACCGGGCCCTCTGACCACCATTGGTACACAATGCAGTGAAGTCTTGCCTAAAGACCCTGAAAGCCGGAGCCAGTACTCGAACTGACAACCCTCCGATTGTAGGGCAAACTCCTTCACAGTTTTAATCTAATTTCCCTCTGGGATTATTAAAGTATGTCTGATTCTGATTCATCCAATGCCGCTGTCGCCCCCTGGTACGATGCTACAAGTTAACCTCCTCCTAGGCCAGTAGGTGCCACTGGTACCCACCTGCTGTCAGTACCAGTGGTTTCACAGCTGGTTTCCAGGGTTGTGACTGACGTCTGCCCTGACCTCTGACCCCTCCGTAGTGCTCTATAGTGGTTACGCCATTTCATATCAGTGTCTGAACGTCTATTGCGGGGATGTCGGACTGTTTCCAGAAAAGGCCGTGTGGCTGCTGGTTTTCTTTCCAGCCAAGCTGTAGCACACCAGATTCCAGTCATCCCATCAAGTGAGTTCAGGATGGATCTGATGACCTGATGACTGAATGGAGTCTGGTGTGCTACTGGCTTGGCTGGAAAGAAAACCAGCAGCCCTTTCTACAACCAGTTTGACACCATTGGTGGATGAAAATGCAGTGGACTATCCATCCATCCATCCATCCATCCATCCATCCATCCATCCATCCATCCATCCATCCATCCATCCATCCATCCATCCTTCCATCCATCCATCCATCCATCCATCCATCCNGATTAGCTAGAATGAATAGAAGGGGTAGAGCGTAGCCGCCTGGTGTAATATACATTGTTTAAATAAGGTTTTTTTAACATTCAGACACATTGGAGAGATTAAAAGCTATGAGGAGTGGTCCAGCACTGACCTGGTTCTGGTGTGTTTGTTTCCAGGTGGCCTGTGACCTGCTGCGGAGGATCATACGCATCCTGTACCTGAGCAAGAGGCTGCAGGGCCAGCTGCAGGGGGGCAGCAGGGAGATCACCAAGGCTGCTCAGAGCATCAATGAACTGGGTAAGGCTCCATTTCCCCTCTCTGGGCCTGGTTCAGTCTAAACTGGAACCTGTCCTTCATGATGTTGGACAGATTTGGATCCTGTATAGGCTAAACTTGGTAAAACCTGCTCTAGGCCTGGTTCAGGCTCTAATCACACCCAGGGTGTGGTTCTTCTCTGGGCCCTAACCGGGCCATAAACAGACCCGGATGTTTAATGTCTGGACAGAAAACCCACCATGGGCCGTGCTGCTAGACGAAGGTCCAGGTTCTGTGGTGATCCAGCTGTACCTGCTGAATCATTATGGACCTGGATCAGAACCAAAGCTCAGCTTCTGACCCAGCAGCTTCAGTCTGAGGTCAGCTGAGGATCAGGTCTGGTTTGCTTCCTATCTGGAGTGGCTGTCATGCTGGCAGCTGGAACTGGTTCCCAGCTCCTCCACCATGACAGCCTGCTGCCGCTGCAGCTCTGCTCTGCAGACCTTTGATTTCATGGATGTTGTAGAATATCTAATCAAGCAGTTGTTCAGCTGAACGGTACCAGAACCTCTTGGTTTAGTGCTCTCTGGGTCAGCAACTCTGGGTTGTTCTGTATTTAACCTGCTAGGAGATTCCTTCCAAGATCTAAAGAATGCTGGAAGGTTCTTGTTTCCTAACGAAGGGGTGTAGGCAGACGGGGCTGTTTGTGACACGTCACTCTAACCAGTCAGGCTGCATGGAGCCGAGCAGCACCTTAGAGATGCTCTGTCTGGTTTGTTCTGGTTAGCAGACATTTGCTGTCTTCTCCAAACACAAACTGACAGGTGGTCGGGGTGTTAAAGCTTCACTATATAATTGGTTAGTGCTTCTGACCGGTAGCACTAACCACCCATCGCCCGGTTTACAGTGAAAAATTTTCATGGTAAATGACCTGTACTCATGTAGCGCTTTTACAAGTCAGGAGACTTGACCAAAGCACTTTACACTACATTCAGTCATTCACCCATTCACTCAAATATGGTGGGCTTCATTGTAGCCACAGCTGGCGCCACCGGGCCCTCTGACCACCATCAGTAGACAATGCAGTGAAGTCTTACCTAAAGACCCTGAAAGCTGGAGCCAGTACTCGAACTGACAACCCTCCGATTGTAGGGCAAATTCCTTCATAGTTTTAATCTAATTTCCCTCTGGGATTATTAAAGTATGTCTGATTCTGATTCATCCAACACCGCTGTCGCCCCCTGGTAAGATGCTACAAGTTAACCTCCTCCAGGCCAGTAGGTGCCACTGGTACCCACCTGCTGTCGGTACCAGTGGTTTCACAGCTGGTTTCCAGGGTTGTGACTGAAGTCTGCCTTGAACTCTGACCCCTCTATAGAGCTCTATAGTGGTTATGCCATTTCATATCAGTACCCAAACTTTTTATATGACTGTATATCCCATCATGCTTTGTGAGGAGAGCGCTTGGACATTTTTCGGGGGCGAGAACAGAGATTGGGGAAGGCACTGTGCGAGGAGGCGGAATCGCATGACCAACGGGGAGCAAAAAGTGGTGATCATCTGTTCCGGAAGGTCAGTTCGCTGAGTTCACTCTAAAGTGATGGGTCTGGGCTCAGAGGTCAGGGGTCAGGGCAGATGTTCGGACACAGCCCATTTCTGAACATTTAACCTACCTGTTCAGAAGGAACGCACCGTCTATGCCTGAACTTTTCTAGTGCCTGACCCTGTTCTAAAGCCTAGCCTTTTCTAGTGCCTGACCCTGTTCTAAAGCGTGACCCTGTTGTAAAGCCTGACCTTTTATAGTGCCTGACCCTGTTCTAAAGCTTGGCCTTTTCTAGTGCCTGACCCTGTTCTAAAGCTTGGCCTTTTCTAGTGCCTGACCCTGTTCTAAAGCTTGGCCTTTTCTAGTGCCT